CGCCCGCCCGCCGCCCCTGCTGAGGGCGCTTGGCTGTTCCACGGGGGCTGCAGCTCGCCGTCGGGCCGCGCCCTGCGCATGCCTTGAATTTGGGTTTGTTTGAAAGATTTGTGCATTCGCTTGTGTAGAAGAGCTGGGGTACAGGCCAGAGGTGTGGGGGTGAGAGGACTCCCCAGAGGCAGAGCGGGGAGCAGAGCAGGCGGACCCACTGCTGAGGGGAGCAGCGGGGCCTGCTGGGCCCTGTGGGTGGCTCCTGGGCCAGGGGTGGACTGGGCCGCAGGGGTGACAGCCTGAGACTGAGCCCCAGGCCAGCGGGGGCCCAAAATCAGTGTTTTTATGTTCTTTGGAGCAGAATTGCTGGGTCAGCCAAGGGTGCTGTTTTAAAACATGTTTGATGAATGAAAAAACAAAAGTTGGAAAAACTAGGGAAACAGACTTTTATAAAGTTTGGGAATATAATGAATTTTCCATGTAAAGAGGTAAAGCTGGAGATCAATGAAAAGAAACCATGAAATTCTCCCAAAAGTCCCAGGATAAAGGCCATGGACTTTTGCACCCACTCCCCTCTGGAGTCAAAGGGGCGTGTGTCGTCCCAGGCCAGCGTGAGAGAAAGTGAGGACACACATGGGGCCCTGGTGGGGCCCAGGACTGCCACACCGGCCCCTGCCCAGCCCCCGGTGCCGCCAGGCCCCCGCAGAAATTCCAGGCCTTTCCGCTGAGTGGAACAAGCGGCCTGGAAGTGTCTGGTTACCACAAAAGACCCTGAATGGACAGAGCACAAAGCTGGAGGCAGCCATGTCCTGACTAGACTATATGCCAAAGCCACGATGGCCCGAGCAGTGTGGCACTGTCCGACAGCGGGCACTCAGCAAAAGGGCATCAGGAAGGGTCGGGCACCGGGAGCCCACGCAAGAGTGAAGCTGGCCTGGCTCAGGTGTGCGGGGCTGGTTTGGGGCAAACAGCACCCCTCGGGCCGCAGACGCCCGCAGGGCCCCGGACCCCCCAGATGGGCCAGCACGAGGGCGACATCGATGGTGCCAGGGGCACACAGAGCCCCCCGGGCTCGGGGGCTGCACGGGGGCAGCACAGCAGCCGCATGGTGGCGGGCAGGGACACGGGGCAGTCACGGGGCAGCGGGGGCAGGCGGGCACCGCGGGCTCTCAGGCCTCAGAGGGGCATCCGCGCCACGAGGGGGCAGGGCCCGGCACCCCCTGCGCACCCCGCCAGGAGACCTGGCCAGAGAAGGTGGGGGCGGGCAGGCAGGCCAGGCAGAGACTGCCCGGCCTCACAAGTCACGAGGGCGCAGCAGCGAACGGGGGAGAACCCACAGGGCCCCACACATGGGCACCATGGCCACGCCCCACGGCCGGCCGATTTCAAGGCCTCTGTGTCAGGCCACGAGACTCAAAAACGAAAACAGCGTCACAACGACCTTTAACATAAACTCGCAGTGACCACCACGGAGCCGCCAGCGCCCTGGCTCCTTACTCAGCCGCGGGACACGCCCCCTCGGGAGGGGCCTCGGGCCTGGCCGGCAGGGTGCTGGCCCCGCACACTGCCCCCAGCCAGGCCAGAGTCAGAGTGGAGGGTCCAGGCCGGCGGGAGCAAATGGTGTGGCGCTCTGACGCCCTGCCGGCTGGAGCCGGCGCTGGAGAGCTTGTCCAGGCTGGTCTGGGGGCCTCAGAGCAGAGGCGACTCTGGCCAGCGACACACAGCCCCGCAGCCGGCGCCCCAGGGGAGAGGCGCCCAGGCTGGAGCAGGCGACTGCAGAGGGCTTGGGGCCGGGCAGGGGCCGGGCTGGGGGCGTGAGCCGCGCGGGGGGCCGGCAGGTGATCAGGTGGGTGGGCCGGGCAGGTAGGACGCTGGACGGAGAATGCGGGGCTAGCTCGCACCAGGGAACATACTGGAAATGAGGCCACACGCGGCCCAGAAACAGAACATGAACAAGGAGCAGATCATGGCGAGGTCAGAGCGCAGACGCCCGCCGGGGTCTGGGCCCACGAGCCCCCCCGGGCCCACCTGTGGGCAGCGGGGACAGTGAGAAGGGGCTGCGCCCTCCAGGGCCAAGTCCTGAGGACCCCCCAGAGCGCACCTCGTGTCCAGGACGGGGGCCCCGGAGGACAGGGACGGGAAGCACAGACAGGCAGGGCAGGCGGGGCCCGGAGGGGGGGGCAGGGGAGCTAGAGCAGGAGCTGGACACGGGGTCAGGGCCACTGGACACGGGGAAGGAGGACACGGCGGAGGGGGCTCAGGCGCCCTCAAGGTCGGACAGCAGTGCCCACGCACCCCCACGCCCAGCCTGCCCCCCCCCGCCCTCTCTCACCCCACCCTGGCCCACACACGCTCGATTCCACAGCGGCGGCCAGGCCTGGCCCAGAAACGAGCGGCAGGACGGCCAGAGGGCCCCAAGTGAGGAGCAGACGCCTGGCCACGCCCCACCAGACGCTGGCCGGCCGGCTGTGGCCCTCACCGGGGCCGGCGGAGGCCTG